CCCGATATCTCTCGGATGTCTCCATGCTACTCCACTCGCCGGACATGCGAGTCGTTTCCTCAGCGGCAATTGAGAAGGTGTCGATGAGGCGCAAGACCTGCTCGACGACAAGGAAGTGATTGAATCAACGAGGTATTCCTGTGAATGGATGACTAAATTTTACCAGGGACCGAAGATTTACATAAGATTAAATCAAAGAACTACGACTAATTCAATGGGCGGATCGAAAAGCTGTCAACCGAACGGTCGTTAGGTCAACCCCGCGTCACTGTTGTTGCCATCAGGTACCATAGTAACAACCCCATTAATATACTCCACGAACATTCCGATCAAATAGAGACCATATCCCCATCCTCTCTCACCTCCAGGCGAGAATCCACAATAGGTTTACCAGCCTCCACACACAGACAATAGGCCAGCTCCTCAGCTCTGTCTCGGAACCTATCCTCATTGTTCACCTCTCCGCATCATCCACAATTCCAATACTCCCACCTTTCCACGCAATGCTGGAGGATTCTCTTTCGTTGAAATGCCGGGAGCGCAGCCATCGTCTTCTCAGCTCCATGAGCCGCAGCTATAGCTCGTTCTACTTCCGAAGGCTTGGCCAAGGCCACGCGACACACCACAGCGCCGCTGTACTTATCAGTCACCTCGAGGTCGGTATTAGAGTATCTAAGACCAGTGGCTCAGGAGGGCCCGCAACCATCGGCTATCACACTGCTTCCCCAGCGAGATAATAGGGCCATGCTGGAGCTATCTTCCGTGAAGAGAACATACGAACGGCCGACCATAGAGCCTTCCGACCACCCAGAGCTGGTACAACCCTCTGCATGGAGAACTGTGAAGGCAACTGAACAGCGGACACAACTTGTAGGTAGACAGTACTACCACGCCCTCATATCAACTAACCACCACTTCCCAAATGTGAGGGAACTCCCTCTGAGACTGATAAGGGCCCTGACAACGCAACTCTGGTTCAAGACACCTCTGAGCAAACACCCATATGAGCCGTACAGCAGCGAAGAAACTCTCAGCAATCCGAAGGCTCAGTTCACTAACACACATCCGAGTTTCGAATGAGTGAGAGCAGAGCCCTGTCGGTCTGGGAGCAAGTCCAAGAGGACCCGTTCTGCAACATAGAGAGGAAGTTGAGAGAGGAGGCGTGGATCAGCAGCTCTGAAGTCACGACCGGCCTGGAAACAAGTTACTGGGAGAAGACAATGGTATCGCTCCTGGATCAGCCAAGGTCTGTCTGCTAGACATTTAACCGCACAGTGTCCACCAGTTTAGGAGTTTGTCAAGGTCCTAAGCTCCAAGCTCAGCTCAATGAAGATCCATCACTCACAAGTTGCGATCACGGTCAGGGCAACGGACATCGAGTGTGGAGGATCATCTAGGTGACCAGAAAAAACAAGGTAGACCCGTAAAAACCTGCAGGTTGAGCTTACGACTCGTGAGTAACGAGAGCTGGAAACCGCTCGTTGTCGAGGTACGGCGGAATGGAAGTCAGGCGTTGGGCGTTCAGTGGAGTGAAATGGCATGCGCATGTACCTTCAAACACTGAGCAGCTTCGTCATTCCTCATCCGCTCCACCCAACAGAAAAATCAACGAACTGACTGCTGACCCTAACCCTGACATCTTCACGTCGAAGATATCTTTATCGAGATCTCCAAGGTTAGAGCCCCCCTAGTAGTCTCTTCGGTAGTTGACACCTACTAGATGTATCTCCGGTGGTAGTCGTCCCAGTAGTAGTCTCCCCGTCAGCAACCACCGCACAGCGGTGACCGCTGATGC